GTTTCCATTCATTTTGAAAAAAATGAGAAATATGGAGTCTTAAATTTACCCTTTTACACTTTAACTGGCTTGAACAGACTGAAAGGTAAAAATATAATAGAGTAAAATATATTCAAATGCATGGAGTGTATTTGTCTTAGTTTGGATACATTTACATCTGCCCTGACTCGCTCCACTGCCACCGTGCCCTTAGGAGGTTCATTGCAGGGGCGCGTTATTATTTGTAGAAATACCAACGTGCATACTTTCATTTTAGCACTGCACCGAGCGAGAAGCTGAACATCATGAAAATGCGGTCAAGCTTACATTAACACATGAAGTGGAGGGTGAGACTTTTAGTGAAGACAGTACATTTTAGTTCTGCAGGCATGAACTTTAATCTATGATTTTTATCAGCAGCTACTGTATTATTATTTACTTTTGTTATGTAAGTAGACTGGCATTCACACACAAAAGTACACCATGTGGAGACAGAACACTTGAGACACCCCTCATTTCTTCATATTTTGTCAGGAAAATTGGAAATAGTAGTAGGTAGTCTTCAGGAATTGTTCTCCAGGCTTCTTGAAGGACATTCAGAGCTCATCTTTGGATGTTTGCTTGCCTACTGTTTTGTTCTCCGTCAAGATGATCCCACAAATGTTCAGGCCCAGGCTCCAGGGAGGCCAATCCATGACTGATTCCACCGTGTGTTTTTCTAAAAATAAAGAAATAAATAAAAATAGGCAGTGTGTTGGGGATAATTCCCATGCTGAAAAGATTCCTGTCTTCATAATTCTGTAACCTTATTTGTGGCACATACATTTATTTAATTTGTGTATATTATAATAAAAAATGCTGGGTGGGGGGGGTGGCATGCTAGTTCATGTGTGGAAACACACAGGGCGTCAGAGGGGTTATATGAGTTTATATGTTTTTAACTGGGTTTTAATTTAATCAAACCATAGGGTTTTTTAATTAAACTATTTTTATCACTTAGGTGTATCTCAACATTTAGTTATGCAGACATATGTGTTCTTAAAAGCAATTCTTTGTTTTGAAGCTGAGTGGAGTGGAAGCTGTTTTGGTTCACAGTGCACCTTAACAAAGAAGGGATGCTTTTTATTTACATCTAGTCAAAAGTGTTGGTAATAGTGTTTTAGTCACACTAATTTTGTGATTCTGACAATATCTCAGCTTTTATTTTAAAAACGGCACAAATGGGAATTTCTTCTGAATGGATAATGTCAGCATGTTCACAAGCGTTTCATTTAATCAAACCACTAGTTTTAATTTAACTAGTTTTTACACATCTACTGGGGTTTCTTTCCAGGGTTGATGCGATCATTTTATTTAAAAATCTGGATTTCGGAATGTTGAACTAAGAGGGAGACAGAGCCAGCTAGTTTTTAACACAGTAAATGGTCACAAATAACATTCAGTCCTTTAGAAAATAAATGCTATAAGCAGGCAGTATCGCTCTTTCAAACTAATTGTGTGTTAATCACACTCATTTGTGATTCTGATGCCCCATGGGGATCCACAAAGTATGGATACAGCCTCTTTCCAACTCTAGAGGTAGATGTATGCTTCATGTACTTATCAACATACATTTCAAAGGCTTGCATTAGAGTGCATTGGTGCATCTTTT